TTGCCAAGCTTGTTCCAAGTAGGTGCTTTAGACCACTGAGCCATCTCTCCAGCCCCTCCTTCACTGTTGAAATGATTATCTTTGAAGGTTCCGCCTTGTCACAATTTTCCCTTTGCCCTGCCCCCTTCTCATTCTCAGTGCCTTCACAGAGAGTTCAAGCAGTTCTCCAATTATATTTTTCCACGCTATGAAAACTATCCTGCTTCAAAAGTAGTTCCAATTTTATTCGCAATGATTTTGGGTTCTATTTGCACCACTTGGTAACCACACCTAGATCAAAGTAAACAAATTGCAAAAACCAAACAAAACCCTGCCCCAACCCCTCTTTCCAGGCAAAGACTGGATGGATCAGTGGAAGACTGGTGCTGGCATTCAGCGGAGGGAGAGGGCAGGAGGGTGAAGAGGAAGAGCAGTGCTTATCTGGGACCTGATTGGTAGATGGCCAGTTCATTTTTGAGGATTTTTATGTTTAAAGACCTTTTACTTTATTTATTTATTTATTTATTTATTTATTTATTTATTGCATCTTAGGGAAGGGTCTACAGGGTGTTTAGGGTCTCACTACTAGATCGGACTCACAGTGATCCGCCTGTTTCCAGCCTCCCAAGAGCAGGGATTACATGTGCGCGCCACCACACCCAGTCTCCGTTGCCATCTCTGTGCCCCCCTCCCCAGGGCGGGGCCCGCATGGCAGGCCCGGGAATCGAACCACCAGCCCCTGAGCCTGCTTGCAGCTTTTACTTTATCTGCAGCGGCAGCTAGTTGGCAATGAAGGTTCGCATAACAAGCACACTCTGCACCTTCTTCTCAAGGTGCCTGAGAGGAACGTCTGAGCCGACGCACGCGGAATGTTTAGCTCGGCGTCTGGGTTATTATTAGCTCTCCAAACGGAGCTGTGACCAGTGTTGATGACGCTCTTCGAGCATGACCTGTGAACGGGTATTACGGGAAGCATTTTAGACAGTGATTTTCAGCATATCCAGACAAAATTGAAGGCGTGTTTTTGTTTTTTTAAATTAAAGTCATGAGTTTTTATATTCAGTCTGCCTTCGCATATCCCTTTTCAATTCACCAATATGAGAAACCCAGAATTTCATAAAGTCAAGAATTGATTTTTATAATCTGAATGTTTATTTTCTTCTTTAAAACAAGTTTAGGCTGCTTGAAGTGGTCTAATTTTTAAGGAGTTACCTAGATATCACAGATATTGAGATATTATATATTCCTCATAAAGTCAATCTAAAATACTGTAGTTTTGCATCTGGATAGTCTTTTTATGTTTTTTTTCTTTCCCATTTGGGGGAATGAGCTTAAAAAGTATGGTTGTCTTCTAGGGCCCAAATCATTCCCTAGACTCTGCCAGCAAGACTTTGGAAATATTTTTTTTAAATCAAGTTTAATATGTCAGTTTTATTTTTATTTATTT